TCGCGCTGAACACTGCTGTCCACAGTTCCACGGGAAGCAGCCCTGCCATGCTCAACTACGGTAGACAACCGGAAGCGCCGAACACCCTTCGGAGGCAAATGGACGAGTTTGCGGCCCGAGAGGAAGGTTTACACCGGATCAGACAATGGAACGAGCATATGAAGAATAACCGATTCGTTGTTCAACAAGCCCGTGAAATAGCTTCGGACGAGTCCCTGAGACAGGCGAAATATTATAACGCCAAACACAGGACCATCGGATTTAAAGAAGGGGACTGGGTATGGAAGAAAAATCGCGTAAAAAGTTAGCGCCAAAAATCGTAGGTACCTTTATTGTCACGAAAGTACTTGGAGTCAACTCGTACCGCCTTGGCAACCAGCAAGAAGAGGTCACAGAATTGGTCCACGTCAAAGACCTCAAACCCTACTATAGACAGGAGGATACCTTGCCGGAAGATGAAACCCGATGGTAAGATGACGACGATACACCTTCCACCGAGGGAACCGAGGCGACGAACATCCCGCCTACTGCGAGCGATGCGACAACACGCGGAAACGAGCACGCCGTTACTACGGATAACGCGATCCGGAACGACAACGCGACAACTTCGAGTCAACCTCATCACGCCCCTTCCGATCCTTCCGATAAGATCCTAATAACCGCCCCTCCAACTAATCCAGCAAAGCGCCCGCGAGAGAAACCTCGCAAGAACGCGCTAACCACCCAAACTACACCGTATCGACAGAATCCACGTATCTCTCCTCCCATCGTCGGGAAAAGGAAAAGGGGTAGACCGCCGATAACACCGACCGTGGATGCATGAGGCCCTGCGAACGAAGGACCTGGGAGACCGACGCAAAGGACCCCACCTTCAATCCCAGCGACGAAGGCCCTGGGCAGCCGAACAGGCGCCTACCTTCGATACCTGAAGAAAGGGTCATATGCACTGACGCATGTGACTGTTACAGGATGCAGATCACCTTCGAGCAATTCGAAGAAGCGGCTGTCGCCCTCATTAGGCCTAGGCCCCTAGGTCCCGCCGTCGAGGGAGTCGTGCACGCCACGCTGCACCTCCTCGGAGAGAAGAAGGAGGGTTTGAGGGAGGTTGAACAAGACTGGACCACCCTCAATACCCTCGAACGAGCCGTATACGCGGAATACGATGCGTATACGGCTGCGGGACATCGCCCCAGTGATATGGATTACTGGAGCAAAGTAGTGTCCCGCCGGCGCCAGTTCGCACAAGTACTGAAAGAGGTTCAGCGCCGTCACCGCCAGGCCCTCGAGGGCCCAGTCAGCACCCGAGCCCCACCCAGCAGCTGTCGGAGCCAGACCAGCGGCTCCGGAGGTCAGGTCGGAGGCCACGATATATCGGAGTCCGCGGACGTGCGGGGTAAACCTCGTGGTGAACGTGGACGGCAGCAACAGGGTTCAAGCAACCGGACCCATACTTATAAATCTTGTGGTAGGGTCCACGGGTGAGGACCCACGGTCGAAAGGCCGCTGTGGTCCGCCCCGAATCGGCGGGACGGGTTGCCGCTGACCCCCAGGGAGCGAGGCCTCCCTCGTGGCACCCTATCCCGCGCATAGTGGGAAGGGTGCAACGTGTGCCACTACCCCGGAGTGACCCACACAGACCGTTGTCCCCGTGTTCGGCAACACGCCGACCTGGTCCAGGAGAGGCTGGGATGGGAGGCACGCGGGCACCCCTCGTTAGACGCAGAAGGCCGGGAGGTATCCAGGTGACCAGCCAGGTAAAAGGTCCCTGCCCCCGTGGGCAGGGCCGCACCCACACAAACGGCCAATAAAAATATGAAATATCACAGAGAACATGACATTTTATTGTCCTTTACCCTCTTAACCTCCAAAGGAATAGCGCTAATGATTCTGTTGTCGATGACCCTATAGGTCCAGACTGGAAGGGGGCTGTGACGGTAAACGTCTTATTAGCGCTAACAGCCCAACCATGCGGCTGCCTGCGAGGGCAACACCTACCGATTGGGGCAAATGTAATGAGGAAATTCGGCGCGAGACGGGACGGGACGCGCCTGAATCCGAAAATGAACCAGTCGAAGATTAGAACTCGCACACTCAGCTGCAGCAACTATCAATAAGAGTCTTCCCGAGTTTTCTTGAGTGCAGAGACGAGTCAACTGAATCCAACGAGAGGAGCGGTGCCTGAGCCAGATCAGAGCGAGTGCGTGCAAGTGTGCGTGAGTGCGGGGTTTCGCCATCGAGGGCGAAATCGAACACGCGAAATACCTCGTGAAAAAGACAGACTTTCCCGAAACTAGAGTGCGAATTTTCTTTCTCGTTCACTGTGCGACTGCTAATAAGGTAAGCTGGCCAGCTTAATTTCGCGATTGCTATGATTGCTATTAATTAATCTCTCGTATTCCATAAGAAGCGTGCATGCATTAACTCGGCGAACAAGGAGCGGCGACCGATCCGACACTGCATGTTTATTTTTTTATTTAGGCAAACTCAACCCTATAAAGGGTTATTTTGCAATAGAGAATAAATATACATTAGTTTTTATGGGTGAAGAGTTACATAGAAGATAAAAATAATATAGCTGATGTAGTTTGACATCAAGTGAGGATATTATCGCTGAGTTTAATATTAAATAATAAGTTTACAATCATTGAAGAACGAATATAGATGTCGAGCAATTTTGGCGTTAATATTACTTAGTATCACAATACTGGAGGAAGGAAGGAACATTCTAGAGAGCTTAAGGTTGTCGATTAATATGTTTCTTTCTTTGTCGTACTTTGGGCATTGCCAGAGGATGTGGTCAAGATCTTGAACTTCAGAGTTACAATCGCAAGTTGTATCCTGACATAGTCCTATTTTATAAAGTAACGCTTTTAGATTATAATGCCCTGATCTGCAACGGTTGATAGTAGTTATAGCACTTCTCGGGAGTTTGAGTTTGTGGAACCAGGGCTTGATTTTGTCGTTGTGAAAGTTTCGAAAGAAAATTTTGCCTTTGATCGTTCCTTCCTCGCAAATGATATTAAGTGTATTGAGACGAGCATTATTTTTAAGGTACATTTTGAGGTCAGTAGAAGGAATTTTCAGATCGGAGTCGGGAGCTAGTAAGGTTGCTTCTTTGGCAAGGCGGTCGGCGCTTTCATTGCCCTGAATTTCTGAGTGCGCTGGAATCCAGATGAGTTGAATGGAACTATTATTGGGGCTTTTTTGCTGAAATTTATGAATATTTTGCCGGATTTCAAAGATATAAGGGTTGGTTTGAATATTAACAATAAGATTGAGAGTTTTAAGAGATAAAAGCGCACTCAGAGAGTCAGTGAAAATGATTACATTCTGATTAGTGTGATTGAGAGCAATTTTAACAGCTTCGTTAATAGCAATGCATTCCGCCGTAAAGACGGACGCTCTGTTATCGAGTTTTGTCATGATGGAGACTTTAAGTCTGTCACATACAGTTGCAGCGCCAACTGAAATACCGTCGGATGTTTTGCTACCGTCGGTAAAAATAGCGTAGGTTCCATCAGCTAATCGATTGTTGATTTGAGCATTGAGATCAGTAAGTTTACTAAGCTGCGGACCAAATTCGGTGTCAATGATGATATTGTTAAAAGGAATGTCATAATTGTATAGATAAATGTTGTAGTGGCTGTTCATATAGATGGTGCTGTTGGTAAAGTCAGAATTTTTAATACACTTTATGAGTAATCTTCTGGATTTCTTGAGCTTGCATTGATTGTGTTGGACTTTTTTGAAAATCCTTAAGATATTTTTATGAGCAATAAGACTAGTATTGCACATAACTTTGTTGATATAGTTTTTGCATAGGAAATAGATGCGCTCTTCAACAAAAGGTAGTTTGGATTCGGATAAGAGAATATTAGTAGAAGTGCTCATACGGTAGCCAAGCGCGAGTCTAATGGATGAGAATTGAACTTTTTCGATGGCATGGCTGAGTGTCGTAGTCGTAGGGTAATAGACATAACAGCTATATTCTAAAATGGAGCGTATATAGCTTTTATAGAAAATGAGTAGTGTATTAGGGCAAGATCCCCACGTGACACCGCATAAGTATTTTATGATATTGTTAGCCCTTTGTGCTTTTTGAATAACGGCATTAATGTGATGTTTGAACGTGAGTCTGTGGTCGAAGAGAATTCCGAGAAATCGTACTGTTTCGCTGGAGTAAATAGTGGTGTTTCTAATTTGGATAGATGTTTCGCCGGGAGTAATTCTCGACTTATTAAAGTGAAGTAAGTTAGTTTTGAGCGGAGCCAAGTCAAGACCGATTTCTTCGAGATTTTGCTAGATTACTTCGACAGATTTTTCAATGAGTCTGATACTAGACGAGAGAGGACATCGTTGACAATAAAGGGCGATGTCATCGGCAAAATTAGCAATTTTAACAGATTTCGGTAGGTGGTTACAGACAGACGCAATATAAATGCGGAATAATAAAGGGCTGAGGACCCCTCCTTGAGGGAAGCCCTTGCATACGGTTCTAATATTTTCACCCAGAATATCAGAGCAGATTATTCTATCCCAAGTCAAGTGTTGAATGAATTTAATAAATATAAGGGGGCAGCCGACAGCCACAAGTTTATCCAAAAGAATTTCGACATTGACATTGTCAAATGCGCCTTGGATATCTAGGAAAGCAGCAAGAACTTCTTTACCCTCAGAGAAAGCTTCCTCGACCTCTAGGGTCAGACCAATCAGGTTGTCAATGGTGGATTGACCTTTTCTAAATCCAGTCTGAAAATCAGGGAGGATGTTATTAGTTTCAACCCACCATTGCAACTAATTTTTAAGCATTGTTTCGAACACTTTGCATAAACATGAGCTGAGGGCGATTGGCCTTACGCCTTTGCCATTGGGCTTATTAATGAAGTGAATGTGGGATGTTTTCCACTCGACTGGGAATGAGCTAGTTTGATACATATCATTGTATATGTTAACGAGAATAAGTTTGTATTTTATTGGTAATCGTTGAATAGCTTCATAGTCTAAGCCGTCGACACCGCATGACGAACGAGTACTTTTACTGCTGAGAGCCGCGTTGAATTCAGCAAAATTGAGCAAGGATTCGAGTAGAGTTTGGGTTGGCAGTTAGGTACAACATCCGGATTGTTTTGACACCAAGTTGGACTGATACGATCTAGACAATCGTTAATAAGATCATTGTTCTGGTGGTTTTCGGAGGAGCTGTTAGGGGTAATTTTAACCCATTTATTTTTAAGCAACTTGGATTTATTCCAGACGTAATTTTGATTAATGTTGAAGTTGAGCCTTTCGGCGAAATTACGAAAATTTGCTCTTTTTTTTGTTTTAAATGTCTTATGAGCCACTGCAACTGCTTTCTTATATTCGATAAAATCATGTTGTTTTTTAGAGAAACGCAACTTTTTGAACGCAGCTCTTCTGAGTCTTTTAACCCTGTCGCAGTCCGAATCCCACCAGGGAACCGGATTGCGATGGTTTTTGTTATTAACGATTCTCTTTACAGGTGTATTTGCTTTAATAGCATTCGTTACAATTTCAATAAAAATAGAGTACTTAGTGTTAGGCTCGGCTGAGACATATTCTAATTTAAAAAAATTTTCGAAGCTATTTTCAAGATAATTTGAAACTTTATCCCAATCGGTACGAATGGATTTGAGGTTGTGCGTTTTTTTGCGATAAATGCTTTTGTTAATGTTAATGTCAATAAAAATAGGAAAATGATCCGAGCCCCAGGTTTCATCATTGACTAAAACATTTACTTTATAAGCGAAATTGTTCGACGAAAATATTAGATCAAGATTTGAAACATAGTTCGAATTAGGGTGAAAATAAGTGTGAGTATCGAAATTGTGCAAGAAAGTATCGGAATTTACGTAAGCCGAATGAAGATATTCACCATTATTGTCAGAGTTACCACAGTTCCATGACGTATGGTGAGCATTAAAATCGCCCATTATTAAAGTATATTCATTATCATCAATGGTTTCAAAAATAGAGTTCCATTCGTTTTGCAAATGCTGATTACCTGGAGCTCTGTAGTACGCATGAATAACAAGATTAAGGGTGACGTTAGTGATTTTAAATATTAGATATTCGAAAGCTTGATTAAGAGAAAGCGCGCCATCGATCTCTTTATACGCTAAATTGTTCTTAATGAAGACAATAATTCCACCTCCTTGTTTATGTAGACGATCTTTTCTCAGGGTCTTGAATCCAGGGAAATGTAGGCTAGCGTCGATATTATTCAGCTGTGATTCTACACACACTAAAATGTTAATATGCTTGAGAATTTTGGGAATTTCTTCGATCCTGGCTCTAATACTTCTACAGTTCCAAAACACAATTTTGAGATCTTCAGAAACAACTTCTGCCATTATGAGAATCTAGGTTTCCGTATCTCCTTCGTAATTCTCTTGAGTTAAAAGGGACAATTTTTCCAACAATCTTTTACATCGGGCCTTAAGTTTGTGATCGGAGATGAGGTAGAATAGATCGCCAATCATCTTGTGAAGACCGGTGAAATCATTAGTGAGTGATTCCGTGATAGATGCTATGTTACTTTTACCATAAGTTTGTTCGAGAAAGCTTTTGAAATTTTCAAAATTCAAACAGTAGGCCGTGGGATTATTTGTGATTTCGTTCTTCACAGTTTGGAGTGATGATTCAAGATCAGAGACTTCAGTTTCGCTAGACGAGCTTTCGAGTATCTTGTCGCTTTTGTGTTTTTTGCTTAACGGTGGCTTGACTTTTTTCAGAGTACTATTGCTATGGATTTTGACAGGGTCATTATTTATCGGATTTAGTTTGTTATCAATCGGTATAGAAGCTGAGGAATGGCTAGAGAGAGATCTTTTCGGAATGTTGACGTTAGCAGGCTTGACAGATGAGTCTGCTGCATGCTCAGTTTGCTCAGTAGTTTTCATGTCTGAAGTATTATTATTGATTACAGGTTCGGCGGCAACTGGGATTTCGGTATGTAGAGATTGATGTGATGGGAGGTTTTTTGGCACTGCTTCGCTATGTGTCCCGTTTGATGACAAATGAAGCAGTTGGTAGAGTCAGTACTGAAGTAAATCCAGTAATTAGTGTTATTGTAGTTTAGTTGAATTGAATCGGGTAGCAGAGATTCATCGCCTTCCTTTATATAGACTTGACGGCGAAACGAGAGGATGTGCGAGCGACCAGGTTTAGTAGTGCTAGCTCGGATACAATGAATTTGCGAGACGGTTTGGATGCCTTTGTCTTTTAATGTTTCCATGAGGATTTGATTCGGAATTATTGGGCTAACATTAGATATTACAACGCGTTTGTTTTTCTCGATGAGGGGACGAATACTGAGTCTATGATGTGAGATTTCAATTAGTTTGTTTTCAAGGCTATAAACTAGGTCTTTAGTTGCAAGGTAGACACAGACTCGGCCTCCAGAGATTTTTGAAATATATTTGACGTAATTGATGTCTATTAGTTTCTCTATGCCGTCAAGGTAGTCGTCGATGGATAAGCCGTCAATAGCTTCAATGACAATAGCATGTTCACTAGCAGGTGTGTAGGTGGCTTCCGCATAAGAAGGAGAAGAAAACTGTTTGTTGGAACTTGATTTGTCCGCGTGGCCCCCTGTTATGAAAAACATCGCAGAGTAAGTATGCAGTTTAGAAAAACTGCGAAAAACACGCACTTGCTCAGTATAGCACTGAGCACAAAACTAGACGCTCTTCACTAAGCGCGGTTTGCCTGAAGACCACTACATTAATCTGATGTAAATAAACTCGTGAGCGGAAATCAAAGCAAAACAAACACGTCTGCTCGCTACAACTGCTCGATGAGCACTGGACACTGCATGTTATTGTCGCGCGCGCGCTTTGTAAACATCAACACGCAGGCCTAATACATTGTAGAGATAAGAGGAAATAAACGATTTCGCATGTGATATTGTATGTAATTTCGATGTTATTATTTCGTGCTAGTAGAAAGTTGGTTGACTGACGCCCGTTCCCTCCTGCTCTCCAATTTTCGAATTTAAACGTTTAGATAACCCCGCGCGCTCTTCGATGCGATCGCGCGCATAATTAAATAGACGGATAACCACCCCGTTACAGTACTTAAAATATTGGAATTTTCATCGATGAATAATCGTTTGAAAAAATTAGAAAAACCATTTGATCGTACTCGTGATGTATACCATTTGAAAGCTTTTGGAAAGATACATAAAAAAATAAAAATAAAATTTTATATTAAACTTTATGATTTTCCAGAAATAAGAAATAAATACGTGATTTTTAATACAATTGCATTCAAGTTTCGTGAATGATTGCTGAATTTTTCGTAACTAATTATCACCTTATAAAAGCCATGGCTATTTCTAAATAATTTTCAAATCTGCATAAAATAAAATCGAGAAGAAAAGTGCTTTACATGCACTGAACATGACGATTTTCAACACTTAAATAAATGAATTGAGAGCTTTTTAATCACCCATTGGGTGAAAGCATAATGTTATATCTCATTTTTGAAGTCTATGATCAAATTTTTCAACAAAAAGATCTGTAATATGTATTTCAGAGAACAGCAAGAATATTTCTCAATTTCAGAACATCCCTCTGTTTGTAACAAGAAAAGTTATATAACAAGAAAAGTTGAATATATTTAATAGAAGCACAAATATATTGACAATATTTTGATGACAAAGATCTTTTATAATACAAACTTCTGAAATTTTAGATCTCAGATCTTTGAAATTTTAGTTCGTATTCGTGTTCAGTAACCTCAAAAACCCCTATACATGTCGATTCTGTTCGATTTTAATTAATTTATGACGGTTGTCATGATATTTCGACGCCATAATAGATCCGCTATTTTAAATTATTGGAAATCTGACATAGGATTAGTTTTCAGCAACACGAACAATCCTTGTATACGTAATTGTAGCCAAGTCGATTGATTTTTTCGCTATTTTAGAAATTAGGTCTGTCATATTAGATTTGCCATTTAGAATATTGAAAATGTGATATTATTTTGAAGGTAACCATAAAAAATACCCCTTAGTACATATCTGCAAGTAACTAGCGATAAAAGTGCAAGTTTTGTAACCAAAACCGTAAAAATAAAGTTGAAGAGGCATATAGAATCTTTCGCAGACGGGAATTGTCTCGTAAGTACTCATCAAGTCAAACATTTTAAAACGTCATACGACTTATTTGGATACTCTCAATATTGTCGGAACTCGATGGTCAAAGCGAAATGGATGATGAATGTATGCGTGTGCACGTGCTTGCTCGCGCGCACGCATACAGTTAAACGAAAAAATTAAAACCACTATCAAAAACACAATCATAAGCATTTAATTTAATTAGTGGTGTAATTTTGAAAAAAATTAGATTCTTACGTAGCCTCTGATAAGTGATATAGGTAAAAATCCTACAAAATCATATTTTAACTGTCAATATTGTAAATAATTATCATAATTAAAATTATGTTAAGTTTGCAGTTATGAAGTCGTTATTAAGACATTTTTTTTAAGTTAAGCTAAAGAATTTGAGAATGTTTGTACAACTGTTGGGAAATTTTGATAGAAATATAGGAGTACTATTAATACTATAACAATCGTAAAGTAGTAGCTTTGACTCGTAAGTCACTGATTGAACTACTTGAGGATTTTGATCTTTCAGAATGATATCTTCAAAATATATTTTAATAGTACTTTTCCAATATGTATTAATAAAACTATGAATATCTGTGGATAATAGTACTGTAAAGGGTTTTCAGAAAACAATTGTATGAAAAAATTCGTGATGTTGGAGATGTACATATGGACTAATTGAAAATATGAAACAATATCTTTTCGTTTTTTATTTAATTTTAATATTTGAAAGCTTATTTTTTTCTAAACTATTATCTGCAGATATGCTGTTTTCAATTTAAGAAATAACTTTTATTTCTATAGTAAAAGCTAGTTGTTTGGAACAATCTTAGAATAACCTTTGAATAGTAATAATTTTTGAGTTGTAATAATCTTTGGCTTTACTATTAAAAAATTTTTCTTAAAGTAACTTTTTCATGTTCCATAGCCAGGCAGCTCTGCCAGCTACGAGGTCGTTTAATGGCATTGTTTTGGGTGTAAATTAGTTTTATTCATTCAAATACGTTTTTTATATTTTTCACGATTAAACAAACAGAGCTTTGGTGAGCAGTCCTACAGCCGATCCACTGCGCGTTACGCGGCTTCGATAATTTAGTGTAACAGCGGCGTTATTTGTTTTGTTTAGGTTAAGTTATGTTGTTATAATATTAAAGTTGTTGTTACATTTGAATTTCTTGTTGTGGTATTGTACCTGAAATCACTCCTGATCTTGTAACAATTTATTCGCGTACGATTAATGCTTTCGCTCGAAACATTATTCAGTCGTGGGAACGTTTTTCTTTGCTTCCCGAATCCCCTTTATTTGATAAAATAATTTTGTACGGACAATCGTGAGCCACCTGAATAGGGACGGCTGGATTTCTCCGTTAAAATTTTAACATTTGAAATTAAAAATGATCTCTTGAGAGTTCTTTATAGTTGAAGAAACTTTCTATAAAATAAAGAAACATTCATTTTATGATCAAAATGTGAATAGAAAGCCACTTTGATTTTGAGACAGTAGATTTATTAGATAAGTTACTAGATTAGTTTGATAGTGGATAAATTAGATCTATGTGTACTTAGACAAACAAATGATTGTATTGCTAATACTCAGAAATAATTTTAAAGGTATAAAATGAATTTTGAAATATTGAAATTAAGTCAAAAACAAAAAATTTATTATTTTACTTTTATTATTTAACTAGTCCACATATACAAGTCTGACATTGCGAATTTATTTCTAAATATTTTTCTTTCTTTCTCCTTGCAATAGCATCTTTCAAATGTAATCTTACTTTTGTAATGGTATACTTAAAAAGTCTTCTATAAATATTTTTCTATATTAGTATATTACAACCTAAGGCCTCGAAATTATAAGCAAGTCCATAGAATCCACTTCGAATGTCAATTTACATGTGCTGTGAGCTAATACCGCCGCCATGAGTTGTATACTATTTTGTTGTCCAGCACGGCCAAATTTATTATGTTACTGACCGAGTATCGCCTTGGAATTGCTTAAGTCAACTTCTAGGCGATGACAATTTTCGAAAAGCTATATTATGCTAATTTTTTTGATCCGAGTATTTAACGATTTCAGAACCATGAGATCCACCGTTATTTTAAACACGTATTTAATTGCTCAAAAATTGTAAATTTAAAGTTTTTTTACTTTATGTCACTTATGAATATGTTTTTTCTTAAAAAATTAATCCACATTATAGTAAAAGAATTATTTCTTCTTAGTTGATTATAAGTTCTTAAATTAGTCTTAATTCTCTTGTGACTCTTATTGTAAATTTTTGGAACATTAAAGGTAACTTAATTAGCGTAAATATCTAGTTTAAACATTTTTTACCTAAATTGTTAATAATAATATCAATTTAACAATAATCGTAAGAGCATTATGAAAAAATTCACATATATATTTCAAATAAATATGTTAGGTAGGCCAAAGCATGACACAATTCTGTATAGAAGGCCTTCATCGGTGTTATATCGGTACAATGCGAAATTGTTCAGTTATGTAAAATTAAAAAGAAACAGTCGTGGATTTTTGAAAAAGAAGAAATACGATAAGTTTTTATGCAAAGTTAAGAGGCTCGATTGTTTTACTGGAACAGGGCTTGGCATCATCAAGCTGCTTGGGTGGCTTATTTTCGTGCTGTTCTTTTTGTTGGCGCCAACTTTGAACCCAACGTTCGTCTTTAGCTTTTTTTTCCTCCAGACTCTTCATTGCTGCCGACTGCCATTGCTCGATGTTGGCGGTCGTCTTGTCGGTGCGCTGCACGTGCTCGTAGCCCTGCATCCAATACTCCTGAATCTCACTTCGGGTAACCGAAGTACGCGTAGGCTTCTTTGGTTGTTGACTGAATTCCTTACCCGAGGCAGTGAGTCCGCGTAACTGCCGGGTTAGCTTATCGGATTGAATTGGCAACTTACGAGGCGGCTGTGCCGACTTTATCTTGCTTTCGTCGGTAGTGATACTCGTCTTCGTCTGGCTGATACTCATATCTTGAGCGTCTGTCTCGCGTCGCCGACGTTGTTTACGTCTCTCCATCTCCTGACCACTGCTTGCATTCTTTGTCTTATGCTGTGGGCGTGAATCTTCCATTGGTTCCTCCAGTCCGAGAAAATGATCGCGGGTTGAGGCCCAATGGTCTTTGCGCGGTCGTCCCTCATTACCATTACATGAATCGTCACTGCTTCGAAAATTTTTTGATTTCTTAACCACCCATGTCGACGGCTGTTTGGAGCGGACTCCGTCTTTAAGTGTCGCCTATAACCCAATAATACATAACCAATAATTCTATTTATAAATGAAAGCTCGCCGTCTCACGTACTTACCCCCGATGAGGAGCTGTCTACAGGCTTATAGAGTTGCTGTCTTGGATCACGTTTACCATGAAGGCTGTGGCAGGATAGACCTTGGCGGCCATTTAGCCATGAAAGTAGAAATGAGAGAAGAACGCATGAAAATCCAAGTCCCGCGGTCGCCGTTAGTTGCGAGCGTGTTCGTCGGGGCACCCAGCCCTGCCCATGGTACTCAAATACCGCTAAGAGTACCAAAGTGCTGCTAGTTAAGTATGCTATGCCAACTACTGTGAATACCCAAGCGTTCTGTCAACAAAATATTTAAAAAATTGTGTTACTTATTGGATAGTAGATACAAGTTACATAGAAATACACCCTGAAGTACTTGAAAAAGTATACATGATACATACTAATACTTGCAACTAACATACCAACAAAAATAAAATAATAAATTAATTTTAACAATTCAAAAAATTAGCATTATATTTTATTATATATGTTCAGTGGATAAGAGTCTAAGTCTTTCAGCAAAAGGTTAAAGTTTTGATTCCCAGGTTTGCTAAAATTTTCACTAATAAATTTTTTCGTATGTTTAATACTGCAATTCTAGACATCAGATTCCACTTTAAATTCAATCATAAAGTATTTAACAAAATGTAATGTTTCACACTCTTACAATTGTTCGACGAGAAACTAGTCTCCATGTCTCTCCATATCTATACAGGTATTTTGTGTATCTTTTCAGAGCTCAAATAAACTTATTTTTTCATAATAATAATATACGTATTGTCCATGTACCTTTACCAACATAGACTCATTCGTACAAAGAGTAAAATCGAATTTAAATAATGATGTAGACCTTAATTTAGTTTTAAAATCAAGCAACAAGATCTTATTTGGAATGAAAAAAGTTACACTTTCTCATTGATTTAAGAGGGTTGAGATAGTAAAAGCATAGCAGTTAGTGTATGCGTTGTTCACACTTTTTTCGTTTTGAGGGTGGCACAGCGTAATCAAACATTACCACCCCTCTCTCTGGGCGCCAATAGGTTGGCATAGCCCACTGTCTTTCACTCCGTCGCTTTCAAACACTTTGGAGATCCGGAAGTCAAGTTTGCTACGACATCCCTGACGCATACAGTGAGTCGGAGCCTTTTTAATCTAAGGCGGCGACCACTTCGAGAGGAGTACCGATCTTTTCAAAGTTCGACGCTCAGGGAGAGCGGAACTAAAGGCTTGACCCTCGGTTTGGGCGCGACGGGACTCTAGTTGCCCCAACGTCTACCACGTTGGAAGCACTCAGTATATAAATCTTACGAGATTTGCTTGACCTGGTACCACTATCCCGCAGAGGCCAACCCAAATTGGGATGTCAGAAGAGAGACTCAGCTAGGACAGCCAGAGGAGATTCCTAAGACGATCAACCAGCTAAGCCTCCCTTCCTGGGCTGGCGTTCGAAAAAACATCCCACCCTACGTACCTGTATTAAGGGATTCCTCCCACGACTCGCAGGTCCATCGCTTCGACGTACCGAGGCACGACTTCCCATTGCGTTTCGGTCATCCCGGCTCTCGCTGGTGGACCGTCATTCGAAAGGTTGTTTCCCGGTTTTCGCTCTAATTTCGGACTTCGCTTTCTAAGGAATGGCTTTTATGATAGGCTGATACTGATGTTTGTTCTTTCGATTTAGTGTTTTTGACTTTTAGGTCAACGCGGGGTCTCGTCTAGCCGACAAGGCGATTCCCCAGGCAAGTAAAAGCATAGCAGTAGTGAAAGAGAATCAGTGCTTATCGAGCCGTCTTAGCGAGCAAACATGTGCTGACGCCTCTGTTAGTGTGGTTTAATTATATCGCCTACTGTTTATGTGTGGGCTGTGCGTTGTAAGAGTGTCTCCTAGTCTACAGTCGGTGCTTATGCACCTTCTGCGAACTATTAGTAGTTTTCATAACTACTAAGCTCTAGCAATGGCTTCCAATATTGGAAGCCTTACACCCAAATGTTCTTCTGTCTCAGTTTCTCTTAACTAAAGTTACCTCAAGCTTACCTTCGAAGCTAAAGTTACATTCTATGCTCAGGCAACCTACTAACCGAATAGTGAGCAAGCTATTGTTATCGAAGCAATCGATGGTCTGTCAATAGACGACTATATCAACGGCCTTGAAAAGTTAATCGATGTCAGTTAAATCAAATTCATGTCCAAAATCAAAAGGTTTGTTAGAAAATTAAGTTCATCAGAAAGTCACCCGTTAAATATTCGACTTTTAATTAAAAAAAAACATGTAGTTATTTCTACTGTCAACCCAGTGATTTTGAATCAGATCTTAATTCAAGTACTTAGCGATAAAGGCATTCAATTAGTCTCGCAAATTCACTTCATTTGAGCAAGCACAAGTAAATTCGGTCGCAGTCATATTATTTCGTTCCGTCGTCAAGCATATATTATAAAGAAAGATGAAGCGCTGCTACCGTTGCGCCGCTTCAATAGATATAATGTTCAACAGCACTAACTACTGGATATACTTAAGCACTAACTCTACTAACTGTTTTGTTTGTCATCAAACCGGGTACATAGCTAAGCAATGCCCAAAGAATTCCTTTTTCCTCTCACACAAACTGTAGTATCAAGCTCTACACCTCAAACCCAAGATCACTCGAACGACTCAACAATACCAATAGACCTCGTTACCGAATGTTGTGCCTTCTATTGCTAATCAAAAGCGAGTTTCGATCTGTCTTACACTGCTAGCTTCGCAGCAGGCTCCATATTAAATGATACAGCTTCCACCAAGCTCTTATTCAAACAGTCAACAACTCAAATTAAACCACCTGTGAAGAAAAATGCCAAAAAAGAGATCAGTTCCTCTGACCCGAAACATCCAGCATGATCTCAGAGCATCTAGATTCGGTTCTTCTCGAAGTCAAAAATGAATTATCTGTAAATTCTATAGCTCACCCTCTCAGCTACAAAGAATTTAAAAACTTCTTGTCGGATTCTTATGGCAAAAGAAACGTCATCGAAATAGCACTGAAGTACATGCCTGATCTATCGTTCTTATCAACCATGTGTCATGAACTCAAAGATCTCATATCTGACACGAATCTGAAAAACAGATATTCCAAACTATCTAAAAAGTTAAAGTTATTCAATCTCAGTGAGTTAGATCGAGGTAGGGAAACGGATAATTCTTAATGATGCAGCCTATCATGTATAATAATGAACTTTTTCTCACCGAACTCGAAGCTATATTCTGGAACTGTAGGAGCATCAACCAAAGATCCGAAGAAGTCCCTATAATACTCAAGAAAATTAATGTACTAGTGTGCGATGAATCATGGCTGAACTCCGACGAAGATCAAAATTGTAATATACGCTTTCCTGGTTTTAAAACTCTCCGCAAAGATCGTCTACATAAAAAAGTTGGTGATACTGTCTCTTTAATTAAAAACAATCTTGCATATGTAGAGGTTAAAAATGTGTCCTTTCCCGATCCTGCTTTTGAAATTCTAGTTTTTAAGGTTACTAACGTCTCTCCTAATATTATCTTCCATGCTCACTACAGAGCTCTAGGTGCCGAACATTTCAAGCTGACTTAAACTCAGACTTTCATAATATGGCTTACAACAGTAATACCATCATAGTGAGTGATTTTAACTCAAATCATGTTGCGTGGAACTGTAAAAACATCGATGGAAATGGAAAAAAAATTTTTGCGGCCCACTCTGTATCCGATACATTTTTACATAACTATGATTCGCTCACGTATTTTTGTAATAACACTAATTATTTTTATAATCTTGACCTCGTTTTCTCTTCCAAAAACCGTACTGATAAAATCAACGTGTTTATCAATGACGAAACTTGGTGTTTCAATCACTTTTTGATTTTCATTGATATTAATATTAGTAAAAGCAGGTGACGCCGAAAAACTTTTAATATTAAATCTATTCGTACCAACTGGAAGAAAGTAGCTTCAAACCTAGACGAAAATTATGTCAATTTATTATCTGCTGATTTCGAATCTGTTATTTCCCGAAAAAAATACATTATTCTTATTGATAATATTAATGTGACGGTGTAGGCTGGTCATGGCCTGCACCGTGTGCTTGTTTCCCTCTCCTTCCTAGGCAAAGGCGCACGGCTGGCATCGGACGCACATTATTTTACGTGTCTGATGCCTGCCTTTATTTTTTTTCAGAATTGCAGCTAGAGAGAGAGAAGGCAGCGAGCAAGAAAAATGGGAAGGAAATATCAAGAGTAGAAAAGAGAGAGAGAGAGAGAAAATATATGTAGTTCGGTGAAGCTCGGCGCGCGGCACTTGTCGCGCTGGACAGTGCCGCGTGCCGCCGATTAGCAGGACAGTGGTGGGGAAGGCGTGAGAAGCCGACTCGCACGCACTACTAGATCGTCGCACGCGAAGGAGTTCGGCCGCACTGGGAGGATTGCCATCTTTTCTTGCAGCGAATCAGACAGAGAGTGTGAGAGCCGTCACGACAAAGAGTGTGAAGCCGTGATGAAAAAGAAAACTGGGCCACGTCTTGCGTTAGCCGTCTCACCTGCAGCCCACCTGCCAAGCAGCCATTACTTTTGGTAAGGTTTAGTTTTCTCTCCTCTCGTTTCTCTCTCTATTTTCCTCGGCATTGTCTTGCGGTTTTGTGTGCGGCGCCAGGCTTTCACGAGCCGGCGCAACGTATCTTCGTCACTTAGTCGTTTGAGCCGGTTAATGAGACGACATGGCGCTAACGTGCCGGTCATCTCATTTAGTGTAAGTTTCGCGTATTATTAGTGATAAGTGGTTTTGTATTCTTGTCGGCACTCAGGGAAGTGCAAGTGTAATAAAAGGTCAATTAACGAAGTTGAGTGTGTGAAATCATTGAGTGAATACCTTCTCCTTTCTGCTTTGCTAGGAGCGACACACCGCCTCCCTTGCCCACCCCTTAAATAATTAGTGATGGAGGATATTTCAGGCCAACTCTATTACATGGCATCCCTTGTGGGGATGGGCTAAGCAGAAGTGAGAAGAGTGCTTGTATTGCTTGTATGTGTGTGCGCGAATAGCTAATATGTAGCATTAGTAATTACATTTTTACTAAAACGGTAAATTCGTTAGTATGGTTTGCGAAAGTGATTTTGTCGCGTTTTGTTAGCAAGAGCAAAGCGTGTTAAAACAACGCGCCTTCGTCTAAGGAAAAAAAAAACTTAGAAACTGTAGGCATTAGAGTATCAGGTCGCGGCGCGCAAAGGTCACTCGCGCCAACACGTGTTGGAACATGCTTCCGAGAATTTGAGCGTCCGAGTTTGTTTACGT